CGAAAGGACAGGAAGACTTTTTGAACAATCTAGTCCACGTTCTGCTTGATATTATTCGTGATCATTTCGGCATCAGATCGTCGGCTTGGTTCATTCCTAGGTGTTTCGTCAGTGTGAGACGCCATCCTTATCACTGTCACAACTCATTAAAGTGACTACCATTATTTTTTATTACTTCTTTCATGTATTAATCCTATCTTTTAATATCCTGCGTCCTGTAAGCAAATATATCCATTTAAATATCTCTTATTTACCTGAGGATGCGGAGGCCAAACAAGCTGCCAATAATTTAGAGGCTGGAGGCATAAATCTAAATGTCACCTGCCCTATTTCCTCAGCACCGGCTCCCGTCATTCCTAAGAAGCCGACTCCTGAACCGATGGTTTGTGAACTATGCAATATTACCTGCCTTGGCGTTGAGGCCTACGCCGCGCACCTAGTTGGACGGCCTCACGGGCGCACTGAGCGATTACATAGGCAGATGGGCCGCCCGATTCCAGATTGTAACACTCCTCTTGTTGCCAAAACGTTGACTCCTGACGTAATAGCTAGTGAGTAGATCCTATACACCATTTAAATTCTAACAGCAATATTATTATATAGCTTTATCTTATCCCTTGATTATTCTGATATTCGATTTCACTATTTTTAGATTGTCCGCATGCTATATAATTTCTACGTCGGCTATGCTCCATATTTTAAAAAAATCAAAAACTTCCATAGGTCTCTTATTTAAAAAGACTAATTTATGATCACTGCAAGTTAAGCAGTTATAGGACTAGCAGATGTACCTTAATGAACTTGTTCTGTCGTAACAATTATGCTAATTCCTAGCATCAAATCGTTTACTTGGTAAATTCACAGACATCTTACTGACATTCTGGCCCTTTTCCAATTCCAGTATTGTGTTTGTATATGACAGTATGTTTACCGACTGGGCCCAATAAATTCGAGTATCTTATTCTATATACCATACAATGCCCATCAAAACTAATAATAAAAATATTTTTGATGATAAAATGCGTATTTATAACTAACTGATTGATGTATAAGATGAGTCGTATCCGAATGTTCATATAGTTTAGAACTGCGCTTAATTCGATAAAGCGAAAAACTTTTCACTTTCCGTAGAAAATTTGGCATCTCTCATACACCAAATTTTCGTTTCTTATTTCCTTTATCAATGTTCAATATAATCCATCTATATAAATAAATATTTATTTATACAGTTCTAGGATTAAACTGCATTTTATTGTGCTATACGGAGATCCTTCATCAATTTTCACTCCTTATTAGCTGGCCCAAGTTCGAATGTTACCATGTTGGACGAATACAGAAAAGTCATGCTGAAGAAGCTCATTCAAACCGATATATCACCGATTGGACGCGAATACATAGAAGAGGTGAATATGATGCTAACATTGATTCTTAAAGCTTATTTAATTTTAATAGTTATTATTATCATACTTATTATGAATCATTTCAATTATATTAGCTAAATTCATAGATTCGAAATAGCTAGCCTCCGGTATGCATTTTGTTGGCTTATTTGCTATTGTTTTCTCTGGTTTTGCTCTTAATTGCCCAAACAATCATTTTTACTTTAAATGGTCTTAAATAAAAGCTATAATCATCCTGTCGTATAAGATGATGAAAAACGAATCGGTGAATTTTCCAAAAATAATGAGTAGGCTTAATGACACCAATGAATTCCAGTATATATTATTCCTC